CCCTTACCATACTGTGATGGCGTGTCCTGGCCGGAGCAACGAGACATAAACATGAAAACTCATTACAAACGAGGCATTTGTTGCATCCTGTGGGGACATAATTACTGATTATAATGACTTATACTGTCTTTTTACGCGTTGCGTTGCATTGCATCGCATCGCACCACGTAAACACAAAACTCTGTCTGCATTTGTGATCGGAGAAATGACAAACAACAAGTGCTACTCTACACTGCCCAAAACTCGCGTTTGAATCATCAGTGGCAACTAAAAACACAGTGGCCTAGCGTGAGGGGAAGCCCCGGCTTAGCGTGCGCTGAGGCCGGGATAGAGTGAGCTGAGGCGGGCAGGACTCCGCTTTGTCCACGGTGAAAGTTGATGTATTCCCTCAGCGACCAGCACAAAAGTTACACCTTCTTTCTTTGCGTGAACATTTGGGTGGCGTTATGCAAATCTTCCCACACAGTGAGGTAGACAAGTGGGGGCGTGTTAGAACGAGCCGCTTTATAAAGACTATCTCTTTGGATCTGAGACTTTAGTGTTTGCAACTTTACAGATCTTCTTTACGCACCAAGAGCTTGTACCACTCCAAAGAGAAAGGAAAAATTGAAATCGCATCATATGACTCCTTTAAAAATATCCGACTCAAAAAACGATTCGATCTCCTGTTAGCCTGCCGACGGCCTAAACGGACAAAAACGAAAGAAAAAATGAAACTAATTAGAAAAGATGCAAATTGATTGTTTCCGTGGATCGAAAGGGTTATTTTGTTCTCATTGTTGTTGACTCGAGAAGTGCTCGGACCAGGCTCAGTCTGTTTTATGAGTCGGTTCATTAAGAAAAGATTCGACTCACAAAACGATTCGGACATCGCTAAATAACAGTAAACGCGCCAACCAACCATACGGTAGGAGCTGCTATCTATGCCTGTTCCACACTCACCTGCTAGCCTGCCATAGGCCTAAACGGACAAAAATAAACGAATGAAATATAAAACCAAGAACGGACGCAAACTGATTTTTTCCCTTGGATCGAGACCGGTATATTATCTTCTCCGTTGGTTCGAATGGAACACCCGTATTTGACAATAACTGGGCCGGGCGGGATCCCAAAACTCGCGTTTGAATCATCAGTGGCAACTAAAAACACAGTGGCCTAGCGTGAGGGGAAGCCCCGGCTTAGCGTGCGCTGAGGCCGGGATAGAGTGAGCTGAGGCGGGCAGGACTCCGCTTTGTCCACGGTGAAAGTTGATGTATTCCCTCAGCGACCAGCACAAAAGTTACACCTTCTTTCTTTGCGTGAACATTTGGGTGGCGTTATGCAAATCTTCCCACACAGTGAGGTAGACAAGTGGGGGCGTGTTAGAACGAGCCGCTTTATAAAGACTATCTCTTTGGATCTGAGACTTTAGTGTTTGCAACTTTACAGATCTTCTTTACGCACCAAGAGCTTGTACCACTCCAAAGAGAAAGGAAAAATTGAAATCGCATCATATGACCCCTTTAAAAATATCCGACTCAAAAAACGATTCGATCTCCTGTTAGCCTGCCGACGGCCTAAACGGACAAAAACGAAAGAAAAAATGAAACTAATTAGAAAAGATGCAAATTGATTGTTTCCGTGGATCGAAAGGGTTATTTTGTTCTCATTGTTGTTGACTCGAGAAGTGCTCGGACCAGGCTCAGTCTGTTTTATGAGTCGGTTCATTAAGAAAAGATTCGACTCACAAAACGATTCGGACATCGCTAAATAACAGTAAACGCGCCAACCAACCATACGGTAGGAGCTGCTATCTATGCCTGTTCCACACGCACCTGCTAGCCTGCCATAGGCCTAAACGGACAAAAATAAACGAATGAAATATAAAACCAAGAACGGACGCAAACTGATTTTTTTCCTTGGATCGAGACCGTTATATTATCTTCTCCGTTGGTTCGAATGGAACACCCGTATTTGACAATAACTGGGCCGGGAGCGTTCAAATGATTCTTTAAAACCCGTTTGACGCGCAGCAGCAGTCGTGGTATTTTGGAGGGGGGTGGAGGAGCGAGAGACGGAGGATCGCGCTAGAAACGCAGCAGCGAGAGCGGTGCTACAGAAAAACACGCACGAAATATTCAAAGAATCACCAGGACGCGGGAAGAAACCTAGAGGATACATTGAGACGAATACAAAAAAGAGGAACGGCGTATTGCGGGTGCGTATGTGTTCTGTTCCCCTCTGACAGACTGTGGTGTCTTCGCGAGCTTGGTACCTCGCGCGACATCCACCCGCATATCGATGCATTCATGAAATCATTGTGAATCATATGAATCCGATATTGCTTTTCTTTTGAAAGAAATACAGGTTTATTCAGTCTAATGCGTTTTGGGGGGGAATGGGCGTCTTGCGTCACAGGCAAGGATAAGAGATGTTTTCTGAAGCAGATGAGGAGAAGAGAGTCTGAATAAATGATCTGAACGCTCTGCCCGCAGTGTCAGCAACATCATCTGCCCGCATAATCTGTCGTGGTTATCATTAGTGTTGCTATTATAAAGTACTGACGAGCCTCAGTATGTTTTCATCTTCATCTTGTTCATTTGTATCATGAAGCCCCCCTTTTTTTAATCAGCATCGGCGTGTGCGGTAAATACTAAATGAGGCTTGTGGTGCTGACTGGGCCCCTAGCGGCCCAGACCTGCTCTCTTCTACCTGTCTCTCGTGTTGCGGTGACATTGATCACAGGGGCCATATGTCTCGTGCACTGTCAGGCCTCGAGGGCCACTGCGGGGCCATAAGATTTGATAGACGACAACAGACCCAGTAACATTTATGGAATATTTTACGAGATGACGCATTTCTGCAGATTATTTTTTCTGAATTAAGAAGCTGCAGTGTTTTTAGCCGGATATCATCATTAATTGTTTATAACTGCAGTGGTAAAAACCTAAATTTCACCAAACTCATTTAACTAACTTTAGCTTTAAAGACCCCATCATCATTTTTTTCTTTCTAGAGTCCCTGTGTTTTCCTATTTGTTGAAATAGAAAGTTTAGGCGGGTCACATCAAAGTACTCCATGCTTTAAAACAATAGCTAATAAGCTGCATAAACCATGTGTTTTTTACTTACTAGGTATGAGAGAGGGACATTCTCATACTAGAGAGCTTTTGTTTGGACAGAATTCGCTAGTATGTGATGACTTACACTGGTGTTGAAAAGTTCGAGGTCGGATAGATTTTTAAAAATGTTTTTGAAAGTCTCTTATGCTCACCAAAGTTGCATTATTACTGTAAAAACCGTAATAATGTGACACATTATTACAATTTGTAATAGCATAATGTTGTATAGTTTATTACATTTTATAATACAATTTTCAGCAGTCATTACTCCAGTCTTCAGTGTCACATGATCCTTCAGAAATCATTGTAATATGCTGATGTGACATTTCTTCAGTATTATTTGATGAATTAGAAAGTTCAAAAACAGAGTTTACTTGAGATAGAAATCTTTTGTAAAATTATAAGTCAATGTTTTTGATGCATTTTCACAGAAAGTCAAAGACTGTCATTTTAAATGTATATTATGTACACTGAACAAAATTATAAACGCAACACTTTTGTTTTTGCCCCCATTTTTCATGAGCTGAACTCAAAGATCTAAGACTTTTTCTATGTACACAAAAGGCCTATTTCTCTCAAATATTGTTGACAAATCTGTCTAAATCTGTGTTAGTGAGCACTTCTCCTTTGCCGAGATAATCCATCCACCTCACAGGTGTGGCATATCAAGATGCTGATTAGACAGCATGATTATTGCACAGGTGTGCCTTAGGCTGGCCACAATAAAAGGCCACTCTAAAATGTGCAGTTTTATCACACAGCACAATGCCACAGATGTCGCAAGTTTTGAGGGAGTGTGCAATTGGCATGCTGACTGCAGGAATGTCCACCAGAGCTGTTGCCCGTGAATTGAATGTTAATTTCTCTACCATAAGCCATCTCCAAAGGCATTTCAGAGAATTTGGCAGTACATCCAACCGGCCTCACAAACG